ACTTCTTAAGCTGCTACAATGAAATCGACGAAGAAGATTATACACAAAATATTTTGAAGTAAAATTTTGCTGAGTGTTTGGACAATATTCCTTTCTTAAATTAAATATAAATTTCGAAAACAGCATAGCATCTTGGTTATTTATTAGGTGAAAAGAATGCTATGGACCAATCATGTTTTGACCTTATAACCAGTTTCTCTTTGCTATTGTTTTGAACATAGGATTCCCCCTGTTAAGTAGTCCTCCAAGTAATCGTTATTAGCCTTGACGCAGTCCATTAAAGAGTTGCATCAATTTGGAACGCTCTCCCGTATTGCTATAAGTTAAAAACCCGCCCTAGTGGGGTTCTTTTCTAAACACTCGCCATAGTCACGTTCGCCTACGTTTCTTACCTTCTTGCACTGCATCTTCGATTATCTTATTATCGTCTTAGCTACTGTCGCAACTCTATAATGGCTTTATTTACTGCATTCCACTCTTACTTTGAGCTCAATGTGACACCATCTAGGTTGCCTGGTCGCAGTGGCAACCCTTTTCTTGTTGTAACCAAAATTTATACATTCTACTCCGCTGCGACAAACACCTATATGGTATACGCGCTACCGTAATCGGACCACGGCACACTTTAAGCAATATTTCTTCATATAACTATATTATTTCATCGAATTTAATTATTAACAAGTAAGAATGTCTAAGTTCGGGTGGAGTCGAACATTAAATACCCGGCGCAAGTATTAAATATATGTTTTTTCACCTTTCCGAAACCTTCCGCTAGATGGTAAGCCGAGGTGTATCAATTTTGAGTAAATTAGCGTCCTTCAATTTCGAAATATTGAAGTTTCAAGCATTTCTGAAATTTACCTTTATATGAAAAGCGGCCGTTATTTTAGTCCGATTTCAATAATTTTCAACGTTTTGCTTTTATGTGGCAAGCACAATAAAAATACCGAGTTTGGTACAAATTGGTAGAACGGTTACCGATATACATATATGTGGTCATAAGTGAGCGGTGCCACGCCCATTTTCCAAAATTTTACCATAAACGTATTTCTCGGTAAAGAATTGTTGCAAGCGTCAATTTTGAATAAATTAGCTTTAATATTTACTGATTTATCGAAGATTTCGTATTTCTTTAAATTACCGTTATATGGGATGTGGGCGTGGTTATTGTCCGATTTTTCAAATTTTCGGTGATTTTGTATGCTGTACCAAGGCCAACAACTGTGCCAAGTTTGGAAGAAATTGGTGCAGCGGTTACCAAGATATACACATGTAACCATAAGTGGGCGTGGCTACGCCCATTTTCCAAAAATTTATAATATTCTTATTTTTCGTCTGAAAATTTTTGTAAATATCAATTTTGAGTGAATTATCTTCAGTAGTTACTAAAATATCGCAGTTTTCGTATTTCTGGAAATTACCGTTATATGGGTAGTGGGCGTGGTTACCGTCCGATTTCGCCCATTTTCAATACCAACCTACCTTGGATAAATGGAAACCTACATACCGAATTTCGTTGAGATATCTCAATTTTTGCTCGAGTTATCGTGTACACGGACGGACGGACGGACGGACAGACGGACAGACGGACGGACAGACAGACATGGCTTAATCGATTTCTCTTTTCATTCTGATTATTTATGTATACTTTTGTCTATATCTATCTCGATTCGTTTTGGCTGTTACAATCAACCGTTATGTGAACAAAGTTATAATACCCTTGTGCACAAGTGCGCTCGGGTATAAAAATTACCAAAAATCTACGTGATTTTTTTTTTAAATAACTTCGAATTTGCGCTTTATTTTACTACAATTTAATTTGCTATAAAATTGCGTGCTCCAAAAAATTCTGATTCAAAATTCGAAAATTTAGATGCAGCTTCGCGGTTTTTTTATAATTTTATAAATACAAATTTCATAGTTTCTGCTAAATTGTAAAATTTCTGCAAAGTTACAACAAAAGTTGAAACAAAAAAAAAAAATAATGAAAAGTAGATATTCATCAAACAGATCTATCAATCAATGGTTGGATACCGCAGATAGCGATAATTTTTCCAATACTTTTTGATTTTTTTTTTCGAAATATTCATCAGCGTAGCCAGAATGAAATTTAGGGGGGCTCGCCCCTATTAAGCTGGCTTTTCAGGGTACTATTTTATATATATATATAAATGAAATTTGAAAGTTTGGGGGGGGGCGGCCTCGAGCACCCCCCTGCCCCTACCTGGCTACGCCCATGGAAATATTTATCGATATTATTATCTATATTTATCGTTAAGTTTATCGATATCTACTTTTACTGAATTTATTATACAAAATTTCTGGTGTATTCCCTTAAATTGGATAAGTTTTTGGAAATTTCGAAAAACACGGAACTTTTACTGAAACGTCAACACTCGTATGAATAATATTTTCGAGCTTCGAGTTTCCTGGCCTTTTCTATTTTTTTATTTTTTTTATTTAACAAATTTTGGAATTTTTTCCCGACAGATTTGTTAGCGCACGCAAGTTGTTTGCATTTTGAAAAGTAAATTAAATTTGTTAGCAAATGAAATATTTATGTCAGATTTCCATTGGGCATTGAGTGCCTAGTTGGACGTTAAAAAAGTATTAGTAATTCATTCAATAAAAATATTCATTAAGTTCGGTTCCGCGAGGCATTTTTTGAATGGCACAAATTTTGTGTCTTCTCAGTGCCTAGTGGAAACTTGGCATTATATAAATTATCGTTCACAATGTTCGCTAGCGAAACTATTTTCTTCTTTTTTCCTTAACTAATTAAATCGTTATATTTCTATTCAATTTTAAATTTGGTTTAGAAAGCAAATCAACAATCAAAAGTATGTTTGCTCTCACAGCGTTGTGGTAGATACATATTTATGTTTCTATGTATGTACATATGTATTTATAAGCCTATATCCTATTTGTATGCCAAAAAAGTATCTAAAACATTCACAGACTACAATGTATTTTTATGAATCTAACCTCACCTTTCACTTTGTATCTTTTTCGGCTTTCAACGACACCGTTATATCGGCATTCGCGCCATAAAAATCTACACACCAACTCGTGCTATGTATGCATGCAGTCACAACGATTTGGCGTGGAATATACGGAAATTTTTGAAAAATCGTCTGCAAGATTTTCCTTTTGCCGGCGATTTGCGTGAGGTGTTGCCATGGTCGGCGAGCGCTTGGAGCCACACCGATTTGCCGCGACTGAAGGAGGGCATGGTGGCGGCACAGGTATGTACACAAATACATGAATGAGAAGAAATTCACGCACATAGCTAGAAATTTAAAAGCACAAAAATTTTTTTTTTTTAAGTTTGTATATATGTATATCTACAAAGGTAGCGAGCTGCATTGTTTGTGAGAGGTTCAACAGGTTGACTAGCATAGCTTCTAAAGCAAAAACAAGTAGCAGCAGGAAACGCGCACAAATTGAGTTTACCCACTGACAAAGATTTTTTGCAAAACAATTTTTATATTTCTGATTTTATCTTGCTTTTTTTTGTAATATTTAATGGCATTGGTTTCGATTCAAATATTCGCCTTAAAATATTTATGTCGCTTTTGTTGTTTTGTGTGCTGCTGTTATTGAATAATTTTTTCTTCTTCTTCTTCTTTCCACACACAACAGTTCTGGTCGGCATATGTGCCCTGCTCCTCACAACATATGGATGCTGTGCAATTGACGCTGGAACAAATAGATTTAATACGACGTTTGGTAAATTTGTATCCAAATCAAATGACGTTCGTCACAGATGCTTCAGGTAAGCAGTATGCCAAAAAATACTACCAATACGTGTTATGCAAAGTAGCAAGCGACGATATGCAAAAAGTTTGCTCATACTTACATATGAATTTAGATACCTACATACATCTGTGAAAGGTTGTGCAGTCGAAGTATAATGTAATGCCAAGTGCGTGCTCAGAGATTTGTCGATTTCATGGCCGTTGTGCGGTGGTGGCGGGATTTGTGTGACATTTGTGAAATACCTTAAATACATAAATTTTAATGAGCGCTCTTTAAATTTCAAGCAGAATAATAGGAAGGCGCACCAAATTTTTTTTTTTTTAAATACGCCAAGAATGTCTAATACTCAACCAGTAGAGGACAAATCAATAGGAAGGAATCTCGTTAGCTCTCAGAGTTTAACTCAGCACATAATTTCACTGTCTTTTTTCCTAATGAAACAAACTGTGTTACCGAAGCATCAAAATTTTGGAAGTAGAGTCACATTTGGTATACTCGTGGCTCCAAGACTGATCATAGCGGCACACAGTGTTTGGACTATTTGAACAATTAGCTTAGGGAGTGAAGAGTTAAAAGCCGTAAATACCAAATTTTGCATAACTACTATCCCCTCGCTCTGCGGACGCACAGTGGTCGGGGAAGCTATGTTTTACGCGAAAAATTAGATAGGCTATTACGATTATAATAAAAACAGAGTATCGTAGTATTTTTGTTAATGTAAATCCGAACATGCCATAAAATGTTTAGTTTGAAATTTGGAAGCTGTCAAATCAACTACCAATTTCTCTAAATGTAAGAAGGTATTTTTGAAGACACCACTGGTTAGGTTTGTAGGCGCGTTAGTCACGAATTTTATGTCAAATTAAATCTTTGGTAGTTGAAAGCGGCCAAATGGACTATGAAGTTTTTCTAAAAATGAGAAAATATTTTAAAAAATGGTCCTGATTAGGTTTTTAGACATGCGGATCCCAAATTTCATGTCAAATGTTGAATGGCTGCCAATTTCTCTAGAAATAAAGAAAGTTTCCCAAAAATTAAATGTACTAGCTTTTAAGGCTTACTGATCTCGAGTTCTATATTAAATTTGACAGTTGTTAAATGAACTTTCATTGTCAGTTGAGTAACACAATATATTTGTTTAGTCAAATTAATTATTTAAAGCATTCGAGGGAACATATTTAAAACAAATCTATGATCAAATTATAAAATAATAACAGTCAGTATATGTATAAATAAGGGGGATAGTTAGAGCCGAGTGCTATACGCATGTTGAGCTCAAACAATTTGACCTAGGTACGCTTGTTATTTTTCAGATTTTTTTCTCTTTAAACGAAATTCGTATTTTCCAAAACTTCAGTTGTCTAATTTGTAAATAAAGTCATTCAGGTTTTCAAATTTTGTAATGAGCGAACTTAAGAACCTCTAGATAGCAAATTTCATGAAAATTCAGTATCTTTTTAATTCTTATATGCCATATTGGTTTCGCTTATTGGAATTTTAAAAATTGTCTTCCGGTTTGTTAAGATACTTCTGAAAAATCATATTTATTAGCTATTATTAATTTTTAATGTTTTAATACACATTATGTTATTTGGAATAACTGCTAAAGTTGGTATTTTTGGCGCCAGTTCGCCCAAAAATGCCAACAAGTTGTAATCGCCGTAAAACAAACTTATTTATACTCACATATTTGTTTTCGTACGTCCCACTGTAATCTACAATGCTTTTCATTTTTCGAGTTTAACCAATAAGGATTAAAAATAATAGTTAATATTTGAGTTTTACTTTTTCGCTCAAAGGTAATTACTTGATTATTATATTTTCGATCAAAAATAATGATTATTTTATGATTTTTATTTTTTCGCTCAAAGATAATAATTATTATTGCGTTTTATTTTTTTTTCACTGAAGATAGATGGAGCCAAAGTACGAATTTCTAGGCAGACTTGCCCCATATGGGTCCGAAATCGGTCACGAAGGGTATATTCTCTTAGAAGAGATGATATATCTAACATTGCTCGGGCTCTAACCGGGCGCCGGGACCTGTCTAATAGGTAATCATGCAGAAAGGCTCAGCGTACCTGCGAAGCTGCAAGGACGTTGAAGAGGAGGAAACAGTCTTGCATCTCTAGTGTGCCCTGCACTATGTAGAGGCAGGCTGCTTCATCTGGGTTCACCGTTCCTGGCCGATATTAGGGAGGTTTCAGCTACCGGCGGATAATTGAACGGTGTGGTTATGTTTAAAGTGTTCTATTAAAAAAAATTGCTTTAAAATTTTACTTTATCTGTGAGCAAAGAAACATAAAAAAGTTGATTTTTTTTAGATTAAGGACATTATTTAACAAAGGACTTGTCTGAAATAATATTAGGTCTATAAAATATTTGGAGTTTTTTTTTTTGAATTTTTGTTGCTTGAGGACAAAACACTAGTTAGCTGGTGTTGTTTAATTTTACCGATAGTGTGGGAAGATCATTTTTTGTTTGTTTTATAGATCGGATTTGTAAGCAAAGAAGTGTTTTAAAATTAAGGATATTTAGCACCCCATACATACATTTGACTCTTTTCGTCGAAAAAGTTTTATATGTATCTGTATATTTTTATACATGCATGTTCACATAAAGCGAGATTTTAGACATAAATACTAAACATAAGTAAATATTTGAATATTTCCATTCAACTGATTTTGCTTTTATTTCTCGAATTATTTTCTTCTACAGGAATTGAGGAGGTGCATAGAAGTGGAAAAATTGCTAGTCTGATCGGGGTGGAGGGTGGCCATTCGATTGGCACCAGTCTCAGCGTTTTGCGAATGTTCTATCAGCTTGGCGCGCGCTATTTGACACTGACACACACCTGCAATACGCCTTGGTATGTATGAAATAAATGTATGGAATTTAGCGAAAATCA